GACTGTAGCAACCTGAAATTACGCTTGCAACAAGTCACGAGCTCTTAAAACACATCACAAATGAAAAAAAAAACCAAATAACAAGGATGTATAGAAAGCCAATCCAGTGTTAAAAGAAAGTGGCTGGTAAAATTAACAATAACCTTCTCTGTGTAACACAAATATTATTGTTTTGTAAGAGTAATGTGGATACAACATAGCTGTTGCCCTTCATCTGTGCTTAGGGAATGCTTAATCCCTGGTAAAGAATACAGGAAAAAACAGCAATTCAATAAGAGACAAAGGCACACAAACAAGGCATGAGAGCGTCTAATCTTCCCACTTCAATCTTCTCTAGTACTGTGAGGGAAGATTAAATGCATCGGATTAGATATGCTTAGAAGAAATAAGTCTTGAACATCACAAAAGAAATGAGATTGGCAGGCAGCCAACAGGCATCGTTTTTTTCCTGTATAGAGACATCAGGGCAAGAATCAGCACTGGAGCATTTCTGGCTGCTGAAGAGATCTGGGCAAAAGACCCCAGAGATTAAACTTGTAGAGCAGAAGATTTTTCTCCTAAGATTTCAAGTGTTAATCTCTGCACCATGGGAAAAACATGCAAATTCTGTCAAAGACATACATTAAAGACATGTAAGGCTACAGTTTTCACAGCAAACTCTAAGCCAATATACCTGTGTTACTGTTGCAATTTTGTACATTCCATATGCATATAATTCGATGAATCCAGAATCCCCTCCAAGAACAAGGGTATTTAGCCTGTTAGGTCAAGAACAGAAAATTTAAATTTGAAAGATACTATTTGTGATCTTCAACAATCAAGTTTAATCTTGCTAGCAATCTGTAGAAGGAACAAACACTTGTTTTAATAATATAGAAAAGCCTCCAAAGATAAACTGTGCTCGTGTTAAAAACACTAGGTTGCTCAGTTAGAATTCTGCATTTTGGACAGTATGACCGTGAAAAACTTTGCTCCAGTTTATTAATAATAAAACCTGAAAACTGCTGGCAAATCAGGCAACATCCATGCGTTAATGCCTACTTAATGACACTATTAAACTTGTTAATGTTTACAAGGTTAAGAAGAAACAGGTGGTGGCTATTAATTGACTGAGCACATATCTCAGGAGCACCTGCAGCACCAGGAAATGCAAAGATCTGTAAGACTGAGTAGTAAATAAACTCTATCCACTTTTATTGTTTTTTTGTCTGATAGACTGGCACAGATCCAGACTGCCACAATGGAGACAGAAACAGTGTTTCAGGTGGATGCTCTCAGTTGACAAAATCAGAGGAATGCTGCTTAATCTGCTAAGTATTACAGGCTCTGTTTTTATTTCTGATCTCCAGCATTATTATGCATTTGTAGTACTGATCCACTTTAGCTGATTAAAAGCAGACAAGAACACATTTGAGACAAACTGCAGACTGCTGAGGCCTCAGCCCAGATTGTTGTAGCAGAAAAAGACTCATTTATGCGCACACTGTTTCCTAACTGCCCGGCAATCTTAAAATAATAAGATACAGGAGCAGAAATAGGCTGTTTAGTCCATTGAGTCTTCTCTGCCATTCAATGTCATCATGGCAATTTGATAATCCTCAATTTCAATTTTTTTGCCTTTTCCCCATAACCCTCGATTTCATTTCACATTAAGTCTATTCAAGAATAGAGGTATTTTTATTGATCCAGACTTGAAATGCTTCTGTGGTAAAGAATTCCACAGATTCACTACCCTCAGAAAAAAATCCTCCTCAACTCTGTCTTAAGTATGTGACTGCTTATTCTGAGATTATGCCGTCTGGTCTTCAGACTCTTTAAATTGAGAAACAGCTTCTTTTCATCTACTTGTCAAGCCCCCTAATAATCTTATGTATTCTATCTTCAGTAAGTCTCTCCTCCAAACTACTCAACCTCTCCCTATAAGAATATCCCTCCATATCTGGAATCAACCTGGTGGACTTTCTCTGGACTGCCTCCAATGCCAATATATCTTTCCTGAGATAAGGAGATCAAAACAGTTCAAAACTATATCTCTACAACTCCATTCCCTTTATTAGAGGAGCTAACAATCGATTTGCCTTCCCTAATACGTGCTGAACTTGAGCTTTTTGTGAATCATGCGCAATAATCCAAAATCTGTCTGTGCTACATTTTTCTGCTTTCTTTCCCAATTTAAATAATACGCAGCTCTTCTAGTCTTTCAGCAGAAGTACATAATCTCACATTTCCCCACATTATGTTCCATCTGCCAAAGTTTTGTCTATCCCTGTAATATACCTCTGTAGACTGCATAATCCTCACTACTTGCTTTCTTAACCATTTTTATGTCATTGACAAATTTGGTAATAGTACATTCATTTCTGCCAGTAAATCTATTGACATACAACGTAAATAATATGGGCCCCAGCACACATGCATGTGGCACTCCACTAATTACAGGTTGCCATCCTGAAAATGCCCTTTTACCCCAACTCGGTCTTCTATTCATGCCAATCTTCTATGTCTTCAATGTGTATCTTTGATTCATACCAATATTCTTCTACACCATGATCTCCTTTGCATAAAAACCTTTTGTGTGGCATCTTGCCAAATGCCTTCTGGTTATCCAAGTATGGCACATCTATAGGCTCCCTGATCCAGAGTGCATGTTACTCCTTAAAAGAACCACAATGTATTGTTTAAAGATGATTACTCTTCCGTAAAACCATACTAACTCTCCCCAATTACTTTGAGTTTTTCTAAGTTCACAGCTACAACCTCAATGATTGATATTAACATCTTCCCCATGATAGATGTTAAGCTAATTTGTTAACCATGGTAATCTCATGGTTCTGATACAGCAAAAGCCTGATAGATACCCAGGGCAGAGTTTTTAAAAATTCAGTGTTGGTGAAAACTGGATTCACTAAAATATGAGATAGTAGGAACTGCAGATGCTGGAGAATCCGAGACAACAAGGTGCAGGGCTGGATGAACACAGCAGGCCAAGCAGCATCATAGGAGCAGAGAGGCTGACGTTTCGGGCCTAGACCCTTCATCAGAAAAGGGGGAGGGGAAGGGGGTTTTGAAATAAATAGGGAGAGAGTGGGAGGCGGATAGAAGAGGGATAGAGGAGAGGATAGGTGGAGAGGAAACAAACAGGTCGAAGAGGCGGGGATGGGGCCAGGAAAGGTGAGTGTAGGTAGGGAGTTAGGAAGGGGATAGGTCAGTCCAGGGAGGACGGACAGGTCAAGGGGGCGGGATGA